CAAAAATATCTCCCAAAAGCTGCCATATATTTTCTTGCCCAATCCAGAATCTATTTTCTGTAAACTATTTAATATGTTTTGTGGGTTAATTTTTATCCATATTCTTTTAAAAACACTATATAATAAATATTTTTTATTATAAAACACTATGATAAAAAATATTCTATAGTGTTTTAAAAATACTGTATTTTTATGATTGAAAAGCAACCCACAAAGCACAAAGCACTGTCAATAATTGGCAAAAAGACTTTTTCGATAGAGTGGGGCAAAATGATAGATTTTTGAAGAAACATTAACGGAAAAATGGTTACCCCCTATATATATATATATATATATATAGGAGGTGTTTAGAATATATTGTGGGTTGATTTTTATCCATAAAAATACTATATAGTGTTTTTGAAAATTATATGGTATTTTTGAACAGATTTACAGTATTTTTATGATTAAAAATCAACAAACAAAGCTCTGTAAATAATTGATGAATTTTTTTTTTTTGGATTCGACGAAAGAAAATGGTAGCTTTTTGAAATATTAGAAATAGAGGTGATTATTTAGGAATGATAAAAATAGGTACTATCCGAGAAATGCCCAAAAAGAATATTTTTTTGGGCAATCGTCATATATATATATATATATAATTAAAATTTATAATAGTAAATATGCTATTTTGAAACTTAGTGAGGATATATATGTAAAAACACCATTAAGAAAATTCCGGCTATAAAAGTGACGCCTTTGTCCTCTTTTATCGCGATTTATTCTGTTTGTTGTCGTCTCCTCTTCCTCTTCTCCGATCCCCTCAGTGTTTTCTTCGACAAAGTGTAGATCCCGTTGCCCTCTACCTCGTAGATCTGTTTCTCCTCGATGGATTGTTTGATGACTCATTTCTTTTTGACGAAATATGAGGATTTACGGGTTGGTTGTCTGGATCTAGTGATTTCGACCCCCGATCGCTGTCTTCGAAGCGATCGAGCTTGTCTTTCCATAAAAGATACTGTCTTCCTTTGTCAAATACGGATCTTTGGTTAGATTTGAGCTGGATCGCTAGAGTCAATCAGTATTTCTTTGAGTTGATCTTTGGCTTTCTCTTATCTGTTTGTGGGTTTTCTCTGATATGTTTATGCAAAGATCTGCTTTTCCTATGACCTTCTATTAACTTATTGTTGGATCTTACCTCTTTATTGCATCTTTTGATGCGGGAGGTTGAACTTTATTGTTGGTTTAGTCGGAAAAGAGAACAGGCTGTCTGTTTTCATTTTGTATATTTTGTTGCTTATTTTTCCTTTTCATACATGTTTTAATGTTCTTCGTAACTTGTATAAAGCAGAGCAAAGCAAGTGTTGATAGACTTATGTTTCTTGCCATTATTGAATCAAGATACAATTTTGGAGGCCAAGAAAAAATTTGGCCATTAAAGCGAACATAGTACTGATTTCCGATTGTTGCTGGGAGTTCTTTATCTTTCTCACCATTTACGAATCGACAATTTCTAGATTTATCACCTAGTTTTTGGGCATTTCTTTTCTCTATTGTTATGCGGTTAAGTGCTAATTTATCCAGTTTTCATTCAGTAATTGTTGATTCTTTATTGAGAGAACCAAGCACAAACTAGGTACTCATTCACAAGATACTTGATCTTTTGTCGGGGAGCTAAATGAGTCTTCGTTTCTAGAAGATCTTTTTAGGCTAAGTACAAATTATCTGCTCTTCCTGTGGAATGATATTTTTTTCAGGAGAGAACTAACAGATTCTAAGCCTTTACAGGTTATTTAAACCTATATTTGGGCTTATTGTAGGATATGTGGTCCTTGCAATTTTTTTTTCTCAATTGATAATGACATAAGTAGAATTATGTACTGTTCTGTATGTTCCAGGTAATAAATCAACAATGCGTTTTGATTGTTCATAATTCTTTGAGAGAGCTTTGTCACTATTCAACTTGTGTTAATCATGTGCATTTCTTCAGATTTATAGACAATGGCCGAAGCTGATGATATCCAGCCTCTTGTTTGTGACAATGGTACTGGAATGGTCAAGGTCAGTTGGTATTATCAATTCATCTTCTTTGAAGCATACTATTTTATTCAATTTTGGGCATGCCAAATCATCGGTGCTTCTCTTCCCTTTGTCAAACAGGCTGGATTTGCTGGTGATGATGCACCTAGAGCAGTGTTTCCCAGTATTGTTGGCAGACCTCGTCACACTGGTGTTATGGTTGGGATGGGCCAAAAAGATGCTTATGTTGGTGATGAAGCTCAGTCCAAGAGAGGTATCCTCACCTTGAAGTATCCAATCGAGCACGGAATTGTGAGCAATTGGGATGACATGGAAAAGATTTGGAATCACACCTTTTGCAATGAGCTCCGTGTAGCTCCTGAGGAGCACCCGATCCTTTTGACTGAGGCTCCTCTTAACCCCAAGGCTAACAGAGAGAAGATGACTCAGATCATGTTTGAAAGTTTTAATGTGCCTGCAATGTATGTCGCAATTCAGGCAGTCCTTTCCCTCTATGCTAGTGGCCGAACAACTGGTGTGTATCGATCTGGCCACTTGAGTAGGGTAGTTTAAAATTTTTCATCTCTGATTGGGCTATTTTTTGACAGGTATTGTGCTGGACTCTGGTGATGGTGTCAGCCACACTGTTCCCATTTATGAAGGATATGCACTACCTCATGCCATTCTCCGTTTGGATCTTGCCGGCCGTGATCTCACGGATGCACTCATGAAGATCCTTACAGAGAGAGGTTATTCATTCACTACAACTGCAGAACGGGAAATTGTAAGGGACATAAAAGAGAAGCTTGCATATGTAGCCCTTGATTATGAACAGGAGCTGGAGACTGCCAAGACTAGCTCTGATGTGGAGAAGAGCTTTGAACTCCCAGATGGGCAGGTCATTACTATTGGTGCTGAGAGATTTAGGTGCCCGGAGGTCCTCTTCCAGCCATCATTGATTGGCATGGAAGCTGCTGGAATCCATGAGACCACATATAATTCCATTATGAAATGTGATGTTGATATCAGGAAAGATTTGTATGGGAACATCGTGCTCAGTGGTGGATCAACCATGTTCGCTGGTATCGCTGATCGTATGAGCAAGGAGATCACTGCTCTTGCCCCAAGCAGCATGAAGATTAAGGTGGTTGCCCCACCTGAACGTAAGTACAGTGTCTGGATTGGAGGGTCCATCCTTGCTTCTCTTAGCACTTTCCAACAGGTATATCCTACTTCTGATCTCATATCATTATTTTTCACTCGATATGTGTGTTGCATGATCTTGTCGCACTTTACATCCGCAGATGTGGATTTCAAGGGGCGAGTACGAGGAGTCTGGCCCAGCAATTGTCCATCGGAAATGCTTCTGAGCTTCCTTATGTCCTCCTACTGTGTTTTGCAAGCAGATTTTTAGGTCATAGTTATGTCTTGTCTGAATTGGTAGGTTTGCTGAGGATTGTAAGATTTGCCTTTGGGATGCCTATATGCTTTGTGTTTGGGCTAATAAGAGCCCTCTTGTTACATGTCGTTTTGAGCCGAAGGCACCATCAGTATTTGTTGTTGGTTCTGTAGACTCCCTTCTTCTTCTATTCTTTGCTTGTTTTGTTTTGGCTATGACTTGTAACACGGTTGGCATGTCCATGGCTTGGCTTTTGGTGTCTTATGTGAAGAATTATTGTATGATGATTTTGTAAGTCCGAGATCGTCGAAATGGTCTTTGTAGTTTGGATTCTTTGTGACATTAGTTTTTGTTGTTATTGATCTTATAACTTTCTGGCATTTGCACCAACTTTGTGTTATTGAAAGCATCGAACCAGTGAACAAAAATTTCAGGCACTTAAGGTTTCACACATTCTGAGCTTGACTTATGCTACTAGAAGAATAAAATCCAGGCCAATGCCAGTGGTTTTTACAGATATGAAGCTAATTATTTCATTTTGATGACACATTTTATTGAAGATGCAGCCTGGATGGAGTTAATAGAACCTTTTTTCCCCTCTATCAGGCTCATACTCATCATCGTTTTGCCTACTCTAAGCTGAATAATCTCATCCTATTCATAAACACTGTACAAATAATACTTACAGACACGCAGCACTATTGTTCTTGTGCTGATGCGCGCGCTATCACCACCTTTCGCCGTGTGATGATGTCGTTCGACAGCGTGCTCGCAAGAATGTTTGGCCTGCATGCATCATGGCATCGCTTTCTTTTCTGCATCCCACAAAAGTCCCATGAACTCGTGACGGCAAGCTTCTCAGGAAAACAGATGCAGGTGAGAGACACAAAAGTAACACTTCAATCCACACTTTAGAGAGAGCGGAAAAAGCAAGAAAACAAGTTCGACATACTTCTGAAACACATCAATTCTCAGTGAAACTACAAACTTATACCGATGGCTTGTTTGTGTCTCGGCCATGTAAAGCTCACAGGAGCACTGATCAGCTCGTAGACACCTTTTATTGCATGTCCTTCTCCAATCTTGAAGGAGATAAATCTTCATGGAATGGTGGAGCCACCTGATCTACCATCATCTGCAAAGCGTGGCATTAAGTTTCAGGAATAAGGAGAGAGAGAGAGAGTGTGTGTGTCTGTCTATGGCACATGAACAACGTTCATCGAGACTTACGTGCTTCGTTGCAAAATGGCCTCCGGTTGCACTGTTCATGGCACGTCTCGGAGGAGGATTTTTCCGTCGGCGAGGTGCCATCCGGTGAGTTGGTACCGGTTGTTGCCAGTGCTGGAAGGAGAAGCAATCACTGGACGAGCGACAAGCAGGTCATCTTCGCGCTGGCCATCGGGATCGTCTCGGTCGATTCTGGGTGCGTACTGGGTATGATTTGGAGGTGCGATGAGGATGTGTGGCTGTCGGAACGAGGAGGAAGATGGAGGAGGAGGCATTTCATGCTCTTGCAGTGGCTATTTTTGGACAGTCTTGGATGATTGGTGTTGCCTTTAGAGTCGATAAGATGCGAGAGAAGATTATTTGACAGAGAAAATTCTGTGCATAACCAATGGAGTTTATTGCAATCAAATCGTGTATACGTGTGAGGAATTCCTAAACTGTAATCACATCGAGTTCCTAAACGAACAACTGAAGCAACGGAGAGTGGGAGCTGCTCCTCCCGGCCACATCAAATAGGTTGACCTGTAGAGGAGCCATGGCCAAGTCCAGCTCCTCCCCATCACTCCGCATCAGTTCCCCATCCATGGCCTTGTGCCGCCGCATGTGGCCGCCCAACGCCTGCCCCAGCGCGAACCCCGCGCCGCAGATGGAGCACCGGTGCATGCTGGGCTTCGGCGTCGAACGGTCGATTCTCGGGCGCTTGTGGCTGGTCCGGTGTCCGCCGAGCGCTTGGAACGTCGGGAACCGGCGACTGCAGGTCTTGCACTCGAACTCGCCGTCCGCCGTCTTCGTCCTCCTGTGGATCTTCGCAGGAGGCTTGACGCCGAAGGAGAGTGACAGCTGCAAGAGCTCAGCATCTTCTGCGTCCCTCGAGCGCTTCATCGCGCGATGTATGATTACTCGAAGCCTCTGTTGTCAGGTGAGACTTGATGCCTTTTAACAGAGAAATAAATGCCCGCAGTGTTCCGGTCATGTAGATTTGGTTGAGTGGCTCCTGCTATTTATACATTGAGCTCTCGTGGAATCCGAGAAGCTCCGTTCCAATGACGAGGACCATTGCGCGTTGGCTTGATAGCAAGTTTGGGTTCAGAGTGGCGCTACTTGGAAGGTTCTCATGACTTGGTGCTCAACGATTCTACTGGGCTAAGCAATTCCATGTTATTGCTTCGTAGTGAAGGAAGAAAAGTAGTGGTAGCGCGCGAGTCCAAAACACTTTGCCTTCGTCGATGGATCACGCGGCGCCGGTTTGACTTAAGAGTTAGATCCTTCGGGACGAACGCTCATCGAGGCGGTTGTCGCAGATGGATGAGAAGAGACCAAGTGATTGCGAGTAGATACAGGTCGACATCAGAAAACAATATCTTGTGAACTCACGCAGAAGCTGCGCGAATGAGGTTTGACCAGACGACATAGACGTAAATCATTGATAACTGGTCAAACTCCCGAGTGACTTTTCACACTTGTTCATGCGACAAAGATGGGGACATCAAGGGAATCACCCTGCAAGAAACATACATAGTGCAGCAGAGGCTACAATCTTGCATCATCATCACTATCACATCACCCACTATAAACCGTGCCGCAGAGGTTACCGTAAGTCGGGGCCACACGAAGTCACTAGTCGATCTACGAGGACATGGTGATCGATGTAGGTGTTTGGGTCCACTGTAACAGGGAATCAAACGTGTCCAAGTTAGGCTGTGGGGAAGGCTTTGCACTTTATTATCTCCGACATCAACGGAAGGATCCAAGTCTTTGGAAGGATTGGACAAGCGTATGATACACAACACACCTGGCAACCAATAAAATCAAAAGTCTTTGAGATGCTGCTGCCGTAAGTGAGCGCAAAAACCTGGTCGCGGACAGGCGACAACAGATAAGAAGCTTGTAAAGGAGGAAGACAATAATAGAACAGGAAATGCAGGTTTGCGATACCAAGAGTGTGAGAAACGTCAGTTCGGTTCACCAGTCTAAAACCCAATGTGGCTAAGAATATATGGATTAAAATTACAAGCACCAACCACATCTCCACAGCTGCCTGCCTACAAGCAAAACATTTTTCCCAGCTAAATCCAGTCCATCACAACCACCCCAAATCATTCTCTCAAGACCCGCAGCATGCCGACCTTGGTGCTGCGGAACCCTCAGCGGTTGCCTGGTCTGGTTTGTTAATCTTGATTGTCTTATCCTGCATGCAAACAACTGATTAAGATCCATTTGATTCCTACTTTCTGCTTCCACACACACAGACACACACACACTACGAGTAGTCTACCTCAGATTTTGAATCTGTTTCCGCAAGCCTTTGCTTGATATCTCTAGCTATCGAAAAGAAGACCTGTTCCACATTCAAATTTGTCTTTGCACTCTGCGACATACAAGATGCCAGTTACAACTTACCATAAACTGCCACAAAACCATGAAATCAAAAGGGTGCATGTGATATTGCAGCTTACTGTTTCAAAAAACTTGATTCCGTATTCATCAGCAAGCGCTTGTCCCTTTGCAGTAGGCACAGCCTGTGAATCACAGTTTAGATATCGTCATTGGCAAGGGGGCCTGAGTGACCATCAGAAATGGGGAAAATAAATATGATCCGACCAGCTAAAATGAACAACGGGAACGTACCCGCTTGCTCTCATCCATGTCAGCCTTATTACCCACAAGAATCTTGTTGACATTATCAGAAGCATGCTGTTCAATGTTGCGGATCCAATTCCTTATGTCTGCAAGTAACAGAAACCACGCACCAAGGGAATCAAAAAATAAAATTATTTGAGCACTAAAATGTACAACTAAAAAATGCAAAGGTGATTACTGTTAAAAGATGACTCATCAGTGACATCATAAACAAGCAAAATACCCATGGCACCTCGATAGTAAGCTGTACGGTAGAAGAAAATACAAGTTAATCCAGCAAAGCTTTTGGGTACCATGCAAAACGCAAACTTCAGAAAAACAATAAACCTACCAGTTGTTATAGTTCGAAAGCGCTCTTGACCAGCAGTATCCCAGATTTGCAGTTTAATACGCTTGCCATCTAGCTCAATAGTTCTTATCTTAAAATCAATACTGTGTAAAGACCAATCAAACTAGAAAATTAGCGATATTCGGCAACATCAAATCAATCAAAAGTCAAAGATAGGGGCAAAAGGAATTTATCAGTGATAGAAACACAGCCCCCACCCTATGGTAGTAATGAAACTTGTTGTGAAGGAGCCATCAGAGAAACGCAAAAGGAGGCAACTCTTCCCAACTCCTGCAGAAGAAGGCTTGATTATAGTGATGAAAACCTCATAAGTTTGGGTACTTAACAGCATCACTCGGAAAAGAAGTTCTAGGCACTGAAACAACAGAACTTATTCCAGAAATTACTTCACAAGTGAAGTTCGAGAAGTGCACACAAGTCAGTGCTCAACTCAATACAAAGGGTATCCAGGGCCTTGGCCTCCCAAACAAGCAATTTTAAATCAAGCAGCTTCTTAAAAACCAAGGAAAAGGAAAAAAAAAAACCAAATCGCTGCAGAATGGCAGAAATTTTAATGGAATTTTACTTAAATGATTTTGGCCTACAATAAAACACTGTACCTTGCTTACATGGATCATTTCTTACCATACTAAATGAGTTACATTCAAACAGGTTTTTTTTCTCAGCAATCAGGATTAAAGATGGACCACCCTTGAGATGAACACAAGGTAAATGTAAATAGTCCAAGCATAACCCAAACAAAAAAAAAGTCTACTTTTGTCTATATAGAATTCTGAATTATGGCTAAAATTATGAAAAAGAAAAGTGGAATACCGAGAAATACAGGGTCTGGTGGTAAAAGGTCTCTTAAAACTAATCAAACATGTCCTACAGGTTACTAGGGCCTAGAATATCACTTAGGAACCACCTAACCAGGGCCTAACTCATGCAGCCATCTTTTGTTATCTTCTGATACAGAACAAAGTTTACTAAAACTGTATGGAGAGATTTTAAAATAATATTGTGTATGACAAATCCATGGACCACCTGGTGTGATTCATATAAGTACAATAATATCAATCTCAATCTTTTTTACTAAAGTATGTTTCTCCAATCTCGATACGAGTATAAATACCCAGTAAAGTACCACAGTCTTCACACCCATAACAACAGCTAACGGTTATCTTGAGTAAAAAAAAAAATCTTACAAACATCTTAACACACAGCAAGAGAAAAATAATCTAATGGTTACATATAAAAATTCCATTGCCAAGTTGACTTCCTTGACATCACCATATCTGGTCATATCTGATGCGCCAACTCCAAGGAAGACAAATTTAAATAGGAATATGAAATCCAAACAAATGACAAGAAGCACTGGACAAGTGTATTGGTCTTTTGGAATTAAATGGACTAGGCTTTAGTTAATCTTCAACGTAAAGCAAAATATAGATTAGTCAGACAACAAATTCATCTCGACTAATAAAGCAAAATATAGGTTAGTCAGAAAACTAATTTTCCGGAGGTCAGCTACATGGGAACCTTTCACACCATAAATCATTGCTGAGAACAGTGTAACTTGCTAAATCATGAATCATCGAATTCTTTACCTCTCTTGGCACCGTTAATGTGTTAATTACACTTACAAGTCTCCTTTGGTCATATCCAAACCAGCTCAAATGGTTTCCCTCATCTCACCCATGATCAGTTTCACACCTAATTGTTAACTCGAACACCCAATTCTTATTCCCTCTTCTTTCTTGCAACTTCACACTAAGCATACTTTGCTCCACATGTCAATTGAACTATACATGCTCCTCCTAATTCCATCTCTCTGGTACAAGCATATACGACATTGCATGACAAAAGACATACTTGATCTTCCAACAAAAAGATTATAACAATACATTCGCCAAGGATGAAAGGGACCTAAAAACAACTTTAACATGGTTTTACTAAATTCATCATTTTGGATACAATCTTTTGCCATCTTCAAGAAATAAATAGGAAGAAAAGCAACAGCAAGAAGACATAGAACCATCAAGCATCATCAATCTTATACAAATTTTCATGGTATAATCGCACCCCTAAAGCATCTCCCCTGGGAATCTAAATTTCCAATTACCAAGCTCCCAACTTTCTTTCATATGGTAAAAATCTTGACCATCCAAGAAATGGAAAGATTACGGCCCCACGAAATGTTGACCAAAAGATATCTAGTCGAGGGGGTATGAGATTTGCTGAATACCGAAGAAAGAAGCAGAAATAGAAAATAATATCCGTAGCTAGCAAATACCAGAGAAAGGACAGAAATGTTGTATGTGTTGACTCGGCCAAATTATGCAAGCGCAACAACATATTCCCGACATGAAACTATGAACAGATCAACTTACCAGCCTTTCCAATCCAATTAACCATATATAATGGGGAATCGACGAAAAGAATGCAACGGATAGACAACAAACTTGATGACATAGCATTCTACCAGAGAAAGAAAGAAAAACTCGTTTACATTTATCTTGCGAAAAGTTAGCGAAAATCTTGAAAGCAGGATAGACCATCAAAAGGTTGACGCTGGATGCCATGCCACAAGAAACCCAGAGCCGTAATCGAAAATATAAGATCCAACAAGATCTAGCTCCCAGATTGTGGTTGACACCGACCCACAAAAAGTCGCTAACGAGAACATGTTGCCCTCAACAACAATCAGACTATGAGTTTCCGGCAGATAGATCCCCACAATCGATAGCATTTATGCCGATCCCTCCCAGCCATACCGAAACATCGAATAGACAAACCTCGACAACAGATTGACAACAACATCGCATGAGCAGGAAAAGGGAAAGAAAAATCCGACCCTACAGACAAGAAAACGAAAAAAAACAGCGAAATGGTCACCAAATCCATGGGAACGAGAGGAAGACGAAAACCCTTACCGCTGTCGCCTATCAGGAGAAGCTTGATGAGGTAATCGTAGTCGGCCCGAGCCCTAGCAGGTGGAGCAGCCATTCAAACCCCAAAAAGAGAAAGAAAATACGATCAAGAATCCCCCCTGAAGTCAAGAATCCCAATCCTACGCCACAGCCAGAGATCCCCCTCCCCACCTCCCGCCCTTCCTGAGCAAAACAAATCTAGCATCCAACCGATCAAGACGATCGCTCGCAAAGACGAAATGGGGAAGAAAGAGAAGGGAAAAAAAAAAAACAAAAGAACAGAAGCGAAAGGAGAGCAAAACTGACGAGATTCCTCGATTTGAAGCGTAGGAGGAAGAAGACGGCTTTGAGATATCTAGGCGAAGTGGGGTCTTTCCCTGTGGCCGTGGGGATCGGCCGTCGACCGGAGCTTTGCAGAGGAGGAAAAGGAGAAATCATTTCACTGGTTATTTACTTAATACGTTGATATATCTATTTATTTTATACCCTTCTTCGTCTTACACCCTCTCCTACCTGGATCGCGATTCGATATGTTTCAGGGCCCGCAAAACCCAAATAAGAAGGCAGAGAGACGTAGTAACTGGTAAGACTATTTTCTCTTTAATCTGTTTCCGACTACCCATTTCGATTACCAGTCTTATGATTGGAGATATCAGCGGAATCAACTCTGGGTCCCGCAATACTACGACACCATCGGCCACGCTGGAATGATCATTAGATACTGTAGGTAAAACCGTACGGTCTTTTAATGTTTATTTAATGTTTTTTTAAAAGGTAAAATGACGAAATATATTTAACTGATACAGAGATAGTAACAGTAACAGTAAGCAATAAATGATAGACAGCTGCTGATGGTTTGGGACCAAAAGAACTCTTAAGGAACTTAGAAGTAAGAATTAATCCTACAGCTTGGATGGGTTGGATTCAGCATATGGGTAGATGAGTTGTATGTTGGATCAAGCAATTCCCAACCACTTTGCTTCTCCCAGAAGATGAGCTTATATTACCTCTTGATTTGGAGGAACGGCTCAGCCACTCAAGAACGAATGAATACTGGAAGATTAGGGAGGGGGAGAAGGATGCACGCGTTGATGTCGGAGAAAAAGACTCGGTTGCATACGACCATGCGAAATAATAATTCACCATTCAATAATTGTTGGATGAAGCATCCATTTATCTTGTCCACATATCCTCCTAACACGGCAGCATCAAGATTTACTTGTTCTTGGGCGCGGTGGCCACGACGGCCGGCGCGGCAGTGGTGCTGGAGTTGCCGGCTATGATGACGCGAGCGGAACCGATGTTGGTGCCGGTGGCCCAGAGCGAGCCGCCGTAGACGACGACGTTGCGGTCTTTCTGAAGGATGCAGACGTAGTTCCCCCGTCCCCTGTTGGTGTTGCTCGCCCACACAGCGGTGCTGCCGGAGTACACTACCAGGTTGCCGTCGCTCTGCATCCTGCAGACGCAGTTGGAGCCGCGGCCGTTGGTGCCGGACGCCCATATGGCACGGTTGTTGTCGTACAGCACCAGGTTGCAGTCGTTCTGCATGATGAAGTTGTAGGTGCCGTAGCGCAGCGACTGGCCGCTGTTAAGGCTCTCGCCCGAGTAGAGAATGTAATCGGCCGCGCATGGCGGTGGCAAGAGGAGGAGGCCGAGGAGGACAGGGAGGATGAGGGAAGCGGCGGAGACGCTGGCCGGTGTGCTTGCCATCACGGACTTGGCCACTCGGGTCACGTTGTTGCAGTCACAGTCTCCCAACTCTCCCTGTAAATATAGCTGGGAGAGGAAAAAGACGCATGGCGTGGATTGCGGGCGTTTACATAGATATCTTTATCGATGTGGGGTTAAACAGACAGCCCAAACACCATTAATATCGGCTGGTGGAAGATGACTGGTAGATGATAAGGCCATAACCTTATCCCTGTGAGCACTATGGGCTGCTCATGTCGGAGATCCGAAGCACACAGAATTCTAGCCAAGGATTCAGCTGATATGTGTCTGTCCATTCTCCATATGTTCCAATTGATTCTATCTCAATCTTCCACATAATTTTCATTGCCACCTGTAAGAGAAGAATCCGTGGTGATCAAGCCTTGTGTGATCCATAGGGTTTCGTACAAGGAATGCATTGCTAGGAGCCTCGTCGACAGCTTGTTCTAAGAGAACACGCACAAGGAAGAACCCTCGTATCTCCAATTTTTTGGAGTTTTTAAGTGAATTTTGATATTTTATAAGTAAAAATAATCTCATTTTTTATTTTATATTTAAAATCATTCTTTCAGATCAACAAAAGGTCGTATTTCTTGGGAAGTCTTCCGAGTTAATTGCATGGATCTCAAGGCAACCACAAAAGCTGCTTGGAATCTCCGGTGGTATATCTTTAATAGATTTTCTGACAACGGGGAGTTCGATGCATTACTTACTTTAATCAACATCATCAATTCTTCCTTGATCGCCTTGTCAACCTTTGTAACATGAGTCATCGATTCAGCAGCAACGGTACATTCTCGCATGCTAACTGCTGCCTGTATTAATTTGAAGACTTCAATGCCTTGATCCTAAACGTAAGATAAATCCTACATAGCGGCAGGTGCAAGTTCATGGGGCCTCGAAGACTTCAATGCCTTATCCTAACTTGAAGACTTCACCTACTAGTCTGAAGTCTGAAGCAAATATCACACCTGTACTCTCTCTCTCTCTCTCTCTCTCTCTCTCATTAAATGTCAACGTTTGGTCAATGTCCGAATGACATTAAATATGCTTGGATAGCTCTGCTTGCTCCCTTCCCCTTGCACTCTTTGCCCTCATCTTCTCTGAATGGAGGTCGGTGAGAAGAAGAAGAAGAAGAAGACAGAAGCCAAGTCTGTTCAGGCATCATCCGGAGCTGCATGCAGATCCCTCACCTCCTTCGTCGACACAGTCAGTGCGAGTTAGTGTTATTACCTTGGTTTTCAGGGAACAGAATGATCATGCACTACCTTTGGGAATAGCTTGTGCTACATGCAAGACAGCATTTCTTAGAGAGCATTCATGACAGTGGAAACACAGAAATGAAAGAAATGTAAAGAGAGACAAAGATAGATAAAGATAATTGAATGGATGTGCTGCAATCCTACTTCCGGCGGGATCAAAAAACATTTTGTCTTGAAGGACCGGTTGTCTAAATTATGGTTAGACAAAGCACGGTCAAACCTCCAAAATCATGAAAAACTTGACAGACGATAACAAGAACCATGGCAATGACATTATTGGATCCTTCTTACGACCAATTTGGATTGTTGACACCATCTGTCAAGGTCTAGCATCGAATATGCCAAACAGTTGTTGCCTCCCACATCATAAATAGTTCAACGAAAAAACAAGCACGACCCCGACGTGCTCCTTTCTCACAACATTTCCTGAGATCGTCTGACGACATGGCGGACCTTTTTCTTGAACGCATCTCTCTCGTCTCTCCATTCCTTCTGCAGGAATAGAACCATTTTGCATCAGATCAAGTTCCTTGGCAAAACTAGGAAATGGCTACAGCATGGAGAATCCTTAGCAACAAAAGGACTAATCAAACATATCCAGATGACAATCCTGAAAATGTGTGCCCGCCCCTCTCACATCCTTTCTTCATCTGGTGAGACTGAATTTAACCAGTCTCACCAGATGAAGTGCCACGTCAGCATAGGAGCTTTGCTCCTTGCTGCTGAAGCAATTTCATATTGGCAGGGTATAGATAGAGAAGGGGACAACAGCATGAGTAGCACAAAGACATGGGCAGGGCTATCCATGTTCAGGATACATGATATTGGTCAACACTGGCACTTTCTAGAGGTGAAAGATTTCATGTTTTTAACTTACAGCAGCTTCAACGTTTGCTGGGGATTCATCATTAGGGCTTGAAAGCATGGAAATAATACTCAAAACAATGCTCTCAACCTGCACATAGAAAGACAACACTTTTAGCTTGTCAACACGGTCACAAGAATAAACATCAAGTGCTGATGCAGGGTGCCGTGGATAAATGGCATCATTACAGGTGCAACAATGATTCACTAGTAGCAGTCCTAATCAATAGTTCTCTTGGGAGGCTTCTAACCCTCCTTGAATTGGGGTAGCACTTGCTGGGAGAACACTACGATGCAACACCTACCACCACTCCATAGTAGTCAGTTCGACTGCTTTGCCAATTCTATCAAAGAAATTTAGTGTCCAACCTATGAGTGATGCACAGCAATGGCCAAAATATGCCATATAATGTATTGAAAGTCGTACCATCATTATCTAAACAAATACCCTTAACCACTCAATGACACCCAGCAAATGCTCTAAGCCCTCAATGACAAAGCAGGAAAAGCATAAAGAAGGCTCGAAACAAGTAATGTTTTACTCACCCAAACTGACCAGTCATTGTCACTTTTGATGATGGCCATAACTTTGTAGATCAGGATACAAGTACTTTGCAGGACAATTGTAGTATCTTAATGGCTACAATTATCCTACAATGTCTGAATAAGGTCCTTCTATGAACCCAAATTTAGCAAAATTGAAACACAAGAAATTTGCAAAACTGCTTCTTCGAAGATCTAATTGGTAATTAAACAGTTTGAATGGGGATTGTAAGGCATCTAAAAGTCCTATTAAGATGGGAAAAACACACAGTAGATAATTTATTTATTGAACAAAAACAATGAATGGCTTATAACAATAACAAAATCCACTTTTGTATTATAAAAACCCAAATTATTAATGTACTTGAAATGTTGATAGTTGTTGTTCTCGATAGATTTGCGAATTCCAGGGCTTGAATAAGGAGAACGTCAATAAAGAATGTTGCAATCTAAATTAACAGCCAGAATACAAGACAACATTCAGAAGACAACCATAATCACCATAAATCAGTGCTGAATATAGGGTTAAGATTGTGGTGATAGGGTTAAAAAGTCAATTTCCCCTTATTTTTTCTTTTTTAGGGTGCAAATACTAACCAATGGAAATAATGAAAAGCATTCCTATACTCAAGAAATTCAGAATTATCTAGCATTTTGTATGGCCATTTGTTAAGCACAATAATGTCAAGTGTAATAATACATAAAATACTACCTAGAAAACATTCAGAAAATGTTGGCCAACGATGTTTAGAAGGCCAAAAGAAATATTTAGAGTGACTATCACAAACATCAAGAGCAACCCTCGAGAAGTATCACATACTGTGTGTACAGGCATCCAGCGCTCACTAGCAAGTTCATAGCCATTTGGGTCATCACCAGGTGGATGAAGAATTGATATGCAAACACGGCCATCAGGATAAACTGAGATTCACATAAGATTAGGACACATACAGCATGGAGACATTACACAACTTCAATAAACATGAATTAATTCCGAACCATTTGGGTGCCACATTTCTGATGTAAAGCGAACGGATGGAGGACTGTTGGGATAGTTGGAAGGAAAGCTCATGAGTGCATTGAAATAACCACCATCGCTGCAATGGGATGACATTAGTGATAGTAAAATAAAGATAGATAAGTCTTATATTTATCCCCCAAAAGTATTGACCAATAACTCTAAAATGCATAAAATTTTAGAAGAAATAGTATTCCTGGTATGCCACCACCAGCAATACCATAAACAAAGACTAGATAAGCTCGTAGGGAAGTCGCTTAAAGCTATCCAATAGGTTCCATCATGATTCACAAAAACAAAAAAAAAAGACAAAAAAAACAAAAAAAAGAAGTGCAGATTCGAACCGATTTAGTTTTCCTCACTAATTTTCTGGTTCTGAAACTTACATAACACATTCTCAAATCAATCAAGAATAATCTCTGGTGTCAAAGAAAGCAGATGAGTTATTGGTAGCCATCATAGCATCAAATCAAGCAAATACAGTCTTTGTGGGTTTTCTAGATCACAACACCAAAACAACTTCATAGGATTCCTGCATGCGCACAAAGAAGTACATAATTTTGTGTAGCATCCTACAGAATATAGCAAGATAATCCTCATCCATCTATTTGGAACCTTAGATTCACTGTTTCATGGATTTTTCTCGCCATTGTTTGGTTGCAAAATTGATAAACAAGAATTAATTAAGCAGATTCCAAAAAGGTAATGCACAATTCCTATCGACCGAATTAATCATCACCGAGTAAACAATTTTCACCTATAAAAACTATTAAGTTCTTGCTGAAGAACATGTACCAATTTCTTCTGAGAACACCAAAATTTGAGTGCATGTTCCTCGCGTCATTTATTGGTTCATCAAAGATGCTTCTTCCCTGTTGGGTTTTCTGAAGAAATTTATGCACCTGTGAGGTTGTTTTGGCATTGATATCTAAAGAAATTCCATGGAGATTAGGAACCTCTTGAATTCAGCGTCTAATCAAACAAGAGGTTCTAAAGGAGTCGGCTTCGGATGATGTAGTTAGTAGTTAGTTGAGATGAAGAAAACCCATAAAGACAGTATTTGCCTGATTTGACGCCATGGCGGCTACCCCAATCCTTAGCTCGACGGATTCAAGCCAACCCATGGACCAAAATTACAGGCAATCGGAACCTACAACTGGCCACAATGACAGCTAACTCAACCGGTCATTGACAGAGTCTCCAAAACAATCACAACGAGAACAAGAAAAGGAAAAGCACCAAAATCTTCGACTCAGGCGGGCATACTCACTAGAGCGTATCGGGCGGCCCCATGATGGTAACGCTCCACTCGAAGATATTATTATCGTCCACCAAACCGGCAGAGAAGCCGTCCACCGGATTCTTCATGAGATCTGATCCAAGAACCACCAAGACGAACCATAAATCACGACAAATCCCTCGATCGAAACCCTAGGGAAGATAAATCTATACAAGAATCGACCGACCCGTACCTTTGAGCTGCTTTTGGAGCAGAAGGCTCGCTTGGCTTGACGCCGCCATCGATCGTTCGGTCGGTGCGCGAGAGAAGCGAGGGACGGAGAGAAGAGGAGACGGGAG